TCTGCCACTCATGAGAGTAGAATGTTACCTGACTTTGCTTGGGTGCTTTCCTAGAGAAAACTAGAAAAACATGTACTTAAAACAATTTCACTCAAGGTCCCAGGAAGAAAGATAGTCTCTTTTAATACATCTTACTGCAATGATTTCCTGCAAGTCCAGTTACCAAACCCTGGAACAGTTAAAGCAACCAGTAAAGGGAGTTATAGCATCCAGGGACTAATAATGGCAGGATGCCATTACCAGCACTAGGCCTAAGTAAGTGAGGGAAAGATATGTGACCAGTGTCCAAAGAGAATTGGAAAGAGGAGGGGAAAGCCACCTGAAAGGGATTTAGCTGTGAAAGGGCCAGAAGTGCCAGTATTGGCAAAGCATACCAAATGGGAGGATACAAATGTATCCATAGTCACTGTCTCATTTTTACACTGCCATGCCTTCCTATGTTTCTAACTGGCCAAAGGCTTCCAGAAACCAGAGCTGGAGGGAATTCAGATTCTAGAGGGTCAGTGGCCCTGACTACAGATCAACAATGAAGGTGAAGTTGACTGCGATACATTTCTGATTTCTAACTGTTTAAATAGAAGGAGTGAAGGAGAAACAACACTTTGATTACCTGCATTAATATTATAACATCATATACTAAGAAACAAATAAGACCTAAAGAGAGTTATATAACATACAATGAGTGAGAAATTTCTATATTATCTATTATTAAAACTCACATTAGTAACATGAAAAATGAAATAAGTCGCTTAGCAAAGTGATGTTAACAGTTTCCAAAGCTGAAAGTACATATTTGCTACTAGGTAAGGTATGTGAGAGATGTTCAGTCTTATATTAAAGCCAAAATAAAATGTCTATTTCCTTTCATATTAGAAAAAGATAAAATATAAGCAAGCATTATAAAATGGCTATTTCCTGTACCATTAATATAAATTATAAATTGGCATAACTTTCTAAAAATTACACTTATTCTACTTCAAGTCTGAAGGGTATAATTAGAAACCTTGATAAAGATATATACATTAAAAATGTTTATAATGGCTATGATAACATAAGAAAGAAACAAGGCCCAACATTAAGGAACAACATCCATTTCACCATTAAAAGTTTCATTCACGTGGAGACCATCTATCATATAGCAAACCAAAGGTTATAGTCTGCAAAAACTGTGTGTCTAGCATGTTCACAGTCCTCTTTGAGAAAAGCCAGGAAGATAGAAAGGAAAAATATTATCAAAACATTAATTGTTGTTTCTCTGGGTACTGACAGCATAGTGATTTTTTTCCATTTTCTCTTCTTATGAACTTATCAAATCTAACATGAGACTGTCTTTATTAATAGTTGCAAATGCCATATAAGAATTAGTCATAGAACGGGCCATGCAAAGCTTGTGAGATATAGTTCTTGTCTCAGGTTATTTATAATCTAGTTCTTAATTTTGTGTTGTTATTGTTTAATAACAATTATTCATTTCATTGGGTCATATAAAATGAAATAGCATTTTCTGTATTCTTCAAATGATATGTTTTCCTTGCACCAACTTCCCATGCCAGACTTAACCCTGTCTATCAGACTTAACTTCAAAATAATATCCAAGCTTTCAGAAAAAATACACAGAGAGGGTTCTTTAGGACATAGGATTCTAGGTAAAGATTTATAAACAGATATGGAAAATGTTATTGAGAAAATGATAAACTTTTTAAAAATCTTTACTTAAAGCCTTATTGTTAAAAGGGGCCAGAGTGACCTCTGAGATGAAAGCTTTTGCATTCTTCTTGTAAAAGTCACATCCAGAATGTATAAAGAATTGATACACAGTAGTAAGAAAAGGTCAGACAACCACAGATGACAATGTTAGGCCGAGTCCATCCAAGTCCAACTAGATGGAAGCTCGTAGTTGTTACTTCAGTATGCACACACATGCACTTACACGGATGGATACATGCATATATCATATATCTTATATGTACATACATAGATATTCTGTCTAAAATGGAACTACTTCTGGCTTTCTCTATTGTTATATCAAATCAAAGATTACTGCAATAGCTATTTAGACCAGTTTCATTCTTAAATGTCTATTGTCTTCTCTGTCACCTAATATGACTGTTATTTCAACAGAAACCACATCATGTGTCTTTGACTAGCAAAGCAGTAATAGCTTCCAACATCAATCAAGTAGAATGCTCTGAGAAGACATATCTTTGATAGCTGAAATACATTAGCCATGCCATCCTCACCTGTAACGTGTCCCCTTAACCTGCTTCATTTTTCTGTATTGCTTATTCTTATTTGCCTGGTTCTGCATTTTAGAATTTGATTCTCTACCAATCACATGAAAGATAATGGGAGCATCTACTTTTTCTGCCTGCTTTATACCTCTCACATCAATATGAGAACCTGGCATAGGGCAGGCAATGATGGAGAATGAATATTTTCTCACCAAAACCAGAAAGAGTATATATTACCATCCTTCTTTTACGGAGTACAAAACTGGATGAATGAGTCACAGTAGGAAACTAAGAAAATTAAATTACTTAATGTCTTGTGTTCTTGTCCTTTCCTCCACTCCTATCCTGTCAACCCTGGATGTGCACAAATGTGCACAAAGACACACATGAAAGGGTCATACAATAGGAACAGTCCCCTAATTAATAGACTGTTCTCCTCACTCTACCTTTTAGCCCTTCCACTCTCATCATAATCATAAAATGTCTCTTAAAATTTATATGCATAAATATATAAAATAATAGATGATTTGAAGGTTATATAATATGCAAATCTACATTGCATAAAAGTAGAGATTATGTAATCCCCTTGACTCACAATTAAATGAAGATGGTGGCTGGTGGCATTCAAGTAAAAGTTGATTATACAGAAATAATGCACTTTCATTTGAGCCTTGCTTTGTGATCATGTGGGGTTTTTTTTGTTTGTTTGTTTCTTTGAGACAGGGCCTCTCTATTTAGCCCTGGCAGTTCTGGAACTCACTATGTAGATTCAAATAGTCTCAAATTCACAGATATACCTGCCTCTACCTCCAGGCAGAGGTATGCACTATCATGCTTGGCCCTCATATATCTCTTTTATATACAAGGATACTTGATAAATTATTATTTAGCTTTCTGAAGTTATATGTTTCCTTCAGCATAAGAAGGTTTTGGGGGAGTTTCTGTTTGTTTGTTTGTTTGTTTGTTTTTTAAAGTTTTTTCAAACAAAATGGGACAGTTTTTAGGTCTGACCTGTATTTCAAAAACCTAAAACTTGACATCCTAAAGATGACATTTTTGATAAGTGAGTCTGTTGAAAATTGGATTGTTTCTGTCAGAAGTCTTACCTCTCCTGCCCCGTCAGACATGGGTGTTTATGGTTACTTGCTTTTTCTCTAGAGATACCAATTACCTTTTCAAAAGGCTACCCAAGGGGATTTGTCACTTGACAGTTTGTTTAAAATTTAGCTACATGTACAAATATGATGGAGGTGAGATCCAATTTGGCTGTCAACCTATTTGACCCTTTAGTTTTAGTTTTAAAAAATGTTTCAGGCTTTTATAGGTACTCAGTAGCTCAAAATTTTGTATGGTTGGTTGATTGCTTTGTTTACTAATTGAAAGATTGTTTTGTTGTGTTTTTTATTCCACAAATGGGCAACTTAGGAAAAATGTTCTTAATTTCTGGCATTTACAGCTCTCACCTCTTCTCTTTCAGAAAACAAAAATCATAGCTTGATATCAAGCCATAGCTTGAAAAGTGAATTAATTTAATAAAAATAAGGCCCCTCATTCTCTGAATATAATGGGGCCAGTGTCAGATGAACATTTGTTTATTAAGCAGGTACAGCTTTTTAATAAGACAGAAAATGATGTCTGGAGGAAATGATAAGCATTTTCTTTTGAGTGTAAAATAATCATGAATGTCTGAGAAGAAATCAGTGTTGGAGTTTATTCTGAAACTGTGGTCATCAGGAACAAGTTGAGTTTATAAAGATGTGCCCGTGTCTAAAAATGAGAATTCTAACTTCATTGTAGCCAGTCAGCATGATTAATCATCTCCAAATCACAGCTTTTCAGAGATATACAATAAGAATATTTAAAAATATGTAACATGAAAGACTTTGGTGAAATTCAGCATCATAGTTCTAAAAATATATGTCAACTATTACTCTGACACTATTTGTAGTTTTTACTAATGTGCGGGATTATTTTTGTGTTTAAATAATTTTTTGAATACTCTTTCCACCTCTTTGTACTCCTAAAGCTATTTCTCCAAGTTGGAACCAAGGATCCTTGAAGTTTTCTCCTCTAGATAAGGTTACTTCTCAGTGCATGAGACATTTCCAAGTATTCTGTGCCCTAACTGTCTTCCCTAGCCCTGATTTGGCCCTGCTGAAGATGTGTATCCGGGAAGTGTCCCATCACACTGATGACTGGGGTGTGGTCCTCTGCCTAAAACGCTACTACAGTGCGATAATGGGAAGGAAACTGAAAAGCAAATTAAATGGCATAGACATATTGAAGCGGCCATAATTGGTCAAGAATCAGTTTCCTCACATAAAACTTGGAAATAGTATTCAACCTTACAGTATGATGGCTATGATTATGTGAAATGTTATGGGAATAATTAGCAAAAATAGTCACCTCATAGTTAAGTGACAAGTATATAAAATCTGTAATGTTGCCAGACAGTCCACAGCCAGAAAATCATATATGAAGCTAGAGCAGCAACTGAGTGCCAGATTTTGAGAGACTCAATTGGTAGTCTAATGAACTTGAACCTTCATCTTACTAAGTGCAATTGTGCCGGCATTAGTAAACATTCTGAAAGGGAAAAAAACAAAAAACACAAAACAGAACAAAGAACATTTGACATTACCTTTCAGAATCTGTGGTGAGTAACATGGAGCTGCTGGAGACACTTGGGACTTGTTTAAAAGAGCTTTGGATTTGATGACTAGAGGGAAAGATGATATTTTTGAGTTTGTTTTGTTTTTTCTTCCACAGTAATTACTGAATGCCAAAGGCAGCAACTAGCATCTGTGAGCTACTCCTCTCGCTATGCCCTGGGCCTCTTTTATGAAGTAGGCATGAAGATTGATGTCCCATGGGCTGGACGATACATCACCAGTAACCCCTGCGTGCGCTTCATCTCCATTGATAATCAGAAGCGCAGCATAGGTCAGTACTCCCCTTATTTCCCTTAAACACAGGAATGGTGGTGGGTGTAGGCTGAGAAAAATTTTTGTTTAATTGAGTGTTGCCATTCTGAACAGAAGAAGTGTTTAACTCCAAGCCACAGGGGATAAAACTTAATGTCACATTTGCTCAGTCATGAAATACACAGTGAAACCAGGAAGGTTTTTCAGAAGATATTTCACCATGTGATTTGTTTTACTGAGTTCATAAAAATAGTGTCAGAAAGTTAAGATTGCAAAATGGCCTGGGTTCTATTGCTTTAATTTGTATCTGTCTATATGCAAAATGTTTCTCTCATCGTCTGTTTCTTGGTGAGATTCCATTGGGTTATTTGGTTTAGGCTTTTATTAAATTTGGTAATTGCTAACATTCCACCTCCCCAGCTAGATTAAAGGTAAATTTTACCATGCTATGAAACCTATCACTTCTATAATATTTTGAAGTCTATGTACATTTCGTCTTTTTGTTTTGTTTTGTTTTTCGAGACAGGGTTTCTCTGTGTAGCTTTGGAGCCTATCCTGGCACTCACTCTGGAGACCAGGCTGGCCTGGAACTCACAGAGATCCACCTGCCTCTGCCTCCCGAGTGCTGGGATTAAAGGCGTGCGCCACCAACGCCCGGCCATTTCATCTTTTTTAAATGAAGTAAAATTGGTTTGCATGCAATACACCTAAAGTGCCCAGAAAATGTTTCATAAGAACCTTCCTAGGACACAGTTAACTCCACATTTTAAAGATAGTTCTAAAACTTCAATTCGATTTGCAAGACCACCTGTTGTAGAGGCATAGGTATAGGTAGATAGATCTCTGAGAGTTTCAGGCCCACCTGATCTCCATAGCAAGTTCTGGGCCAGCCAGAGCTGCAGAGTAAGACAGGGAAAACACACACACACACACACACACACACACACACACACA